GTTGTTGTTGGTGGTGGTAATGGATTGTTCTAGATAGAATTGAATACAATAATGAACATAGCTATACAGGTAGTCATTGTTAGTTTCTTTTTTTCAAGTACATCATCCCTAATTGTACCCTCTGGTTCAATGAAGCAAAAAGTTGCATCTCTACTTTAGACAAAAGAGGGTAAAGAATGGCTCAATCATAATCCATGACTAGCCTCGTATATATATATATATACTGAATTGAAGAGATTACAATTTTGGAAGGTAAAACAATAATCACTAAAAACTAGTCTAATATCCCGTAATACAGAATTTATGAGATCCTAAATTATTTCCATATTCCAACATAGACATCCTATGCACAAATGTATAACAAAGAACAAATATATTCACACAGAAAATAGATATTGAATAGAGAAGTTGAGGGGGAGAAAACCCCATGATGACTTATGCAAGCATAACTTGGTGTATAGTAGTAATAACAAGAAAATTTTTCCTCCAAATGTGCAAAGCATTATAATTATCATAAGTTCACAACAAGTGAAAGGTACACCTGGGTTGACTGCAGTTCTTGTTCCAATTATCGGCAATTTTTGTATGGCAGTTCATCCCTGTGGATCCTACTTTCTATTTCTCACTTTTAAAAATGCAGTCAAGTAAGAATCTACTGAAAACGTTTCCAGGGTAAGAAGCATTAAATCACATAAAATGGTGATCAGTGTAATTTCTAAAAGACACAATAGAGCTGCAGGCCCTCTTTAGTGATGAGATGAAAGGATATCAAAATGCCCTGTTTCAGATCCTACCACCTAAATCCAAGTCATAGCCTGGCAGTCAAGAAAACACATTGATCACAAATAGCAGATGATGGCCATCAATATATATATATATAATTTTGAATCAAGGAGTTCAATATATATATATATATATAATTTTTGCCTGCCAATATCATTGGATTCATAGCACTACCCAAGTCTTCTATTTAAAGTAACTTTGAAAGACAAAAATTATAAAACTCATTAACTGCAACCATTTTTTTAATTCCTTAATTTTCCATTCCAGTGGATAGTAAGGACATTCTTTAATTTTCGAACCAGCCACAAGAAATTGAAGGTTTCACTACATCAATAAGGAAGAGAAGAAGAAATAAAGCTAAAAAAAAATGGAGATTTGGTTCGAAAATAATGACAATGAATCGAAATTAAAACTGCAAAAACGAAAAGAGAAACTTTGATTTGGTTCAAAAACGATGAAGTTAATTTTCGAAACAAAAACCAAAAAACCTATAGCTCAGAAAATCTGCATTTTGCACGAAGAATGCTGAACTTAATTTCCAAAATGAAAACCACAAAACCAAAAGGGGGAAACTTTGATTTGGTTAAAAAATGATGAAGTTAATTTTCGAAATAAAAACCACAAAACCTGTAGCTCAGAAAATCTACTTTTGGTTCGAAAAATGCTGAACTTAATTCCCGAAATCGAAACCACAAACCGAAATGGGAAACTTTTGTTTGGTTCGAAAATGATGAAGTTAATTTTTGAAATAAAAATCAGAAAATCTGTAGCTCTGAAAATCTACATTTGGTTTAAAAAATGCTAAACTTAATTTCCGAAATTGAAACCACAAAACTAGTAGCTCAGAAACTTGCATTTGGTTCGAAAATGCTGAAATTAATTTTTGAAATCAAACCACAAAACATTGATTTGTATACTGAAAAGGATTTTGAGATTAAACTAGGGATATGGTTCCAAAATCAAACCACATAATTTTGAGGTTAATCCAGAAACTTCACCTTAACAGACCTTTAGAAACTTCACCTTAACTCATAATCAACAAATCTGAGATTTCAATGTGAGTAAAAAACTCATAACCCTAGATATGGATCTATGAAGATGAAGAGAGAGAAAGAGCAATAACTATAACAACACCAATGTAAAACAAAGATTCATAGCAAATCAAACCACGTAATAGCACCTTAATTCAAACCGAACATCAACGAAAAAAATAAATAAATAAATATTACTCACTGAAATTTGTTGAGATCAGCGATTTGTTGGTGGATCCAAATCGATGAACAGCTGCCTTGTTGAGATCAACGAATCAACAAATGGTGGATCCAAATAGATGAACAGTTGCTCCAGATTTGTAAATGGTGGCTCCAAATCGGTGATCAGTGGCTCAAGCTTGGCGATGAACTTCGAAGACTCTCATCTCATCACAGTAATGTCGAAGAAGTGAAGGTTGTAGAATAAAATAATCATCAAATATGATATATAATAAGGGTTAATTTGGTCATTTGATGAGTTAGTCCAGACTTTGGCTAATCTCCCAATTTATATCTCACCCCTCTTTGTGGGATTGAATAGTCCATCAAATATGGAACATCATATCCGAAAGGATTATTAATCCGTACTTCAATTTTTTAACCAAACATCGGATTTATAGATTTCTTGGACTATTAGTCCAATCCTAAGCCCATGTCCATCCAAACAAACATGGCCTGAATGTATTCACAAAAACAATGTACAAGTGTAACAGAGTTCAAAGTAAGTCAAAAAACTGAAAAGAGGAAAAAACAGTAACTTACTAAAGAAAATGGCGCCGGAGTGAGATTCGCCGAAGTCAGACAACGACAGTGAATGGAACGGACCGATGAATGCTTCATTGAAGAGGATGAACGGAGCAGGTTGCCGAGCTTGAGAGCTTGAAACAATGGAGGATTTGGGAGATAAGTGTTAGAGAAAGAAAAGCTTGGAAGAAGAGGAAGATGCAAAGGTGAAAAAACGAAGACAGAGAGGTGTTTTTGATTAAAACACGAAAAAGCAGAAAACTCACAATTAGTGTGCCTATGACGACGTGTCTGTCAAGCAGCGCATGCAGAAACAACGCGACCTGATGGCGCATGTCAGGTACGGTTCAATAGAGAAGGGACATGTGGCGAAAACGGTTGAGTTACTGTGCGTGACAACTCAAACGCGTGTAGAAACTCTTAGAGTTTTGGATTTAATGAAGCAAAGACCTCGGCTAGGGAAACGATCTCGGTTAAAGAACTTGAAAAAACTTGGTTCTTGGTTCTAAGGCATTAATGAAAACAGACTGCAAGTCTTTGTCATATGGAGCCGACGAATGATGACCTCGGTAATGAAGGATAGAGCAAGCTTAGCCGACGTGCTATATGGTCAAATGATATAGGTTCCATCACCTCAGGATGCCAAGGTAATAGAACCTAGGGGCAGTTGTGGGGACATATTTTTTGAATAACACGTTGCCAAGGTGGCACTGAAGTGCCAGCCGAGGTGCCACGTGTCCTGATTATGGCGCCGAGATGATCTCAGCTAGGCCGAGGTCGGAGATACCGGAATCCGAAATTAACGGATAAGTTTTAAGAGTCCTAGAATGGAAGAGGACCTCAGCTTGGATAAAGATAAAGCTCTTAGGGAGTTTATCTTTATCTATTTGAGAGTCCAGGATGAGTATTGAGCCAGAGTCCAAGAGAAGCTAGGCTTCTACAGAGATCAAGTCAGTGCTGGCTATAAAAGTATGGCACCCTTATGGGTCTAAGGTACACTTTTTGTTTCATGGCTAGTGAATTAAAGCACTATTTACTATCTTTGATAGATAATTGAGTACTGACTTGATTGTCGAAGTGCCCTCGGGTGGACAAGCCACCGCTGGAAACTCTTCTTTCTGTTGCAGGTCATTCGAGCTTAATCTATTCTGAAGGTGCCCTCTAGCTGGGTACCTGTTTGGCAGTGTGGTCAAAAAATCACCCACACAATTTGGCGCCGTCTGTGGGAACGAAAGGAGAATAGATGGCCAACGATAGACCGAAAGAGAAGGTTAGGGACGACACACCTACTGAGAGTGGGAAACATATTGACCTTGGCGTCGAAGAAGACAACTACAACGAAGAAACTCGTGATAAGAATCACGGAGAAGAGGACGTCGATCAGGAGGGCGACGTACCGAAGAAATTAGACCAAAGCAAATATTATAACGAGGATGACCTCCAGCCACCGTTCCCGTCACAAGATACGCCGATTTCAGCAGCCAAGAAAGATGCCCATGCAGGGGGGCAGAAGACATGTAGAGACCCTAATTTTTGGTAATTACACATGAAACCCGGAGCCTTAGTTTAATAGCATTTTAGCACCTAGTTTCGTAAAAGTCTGCAAAATGGCCCAATAAATAATAATTTTCCTGTATATTATCAAAATTAAACCGAGAACACCACTTTATAATTGGAAATACCCTAAAACTTGGTTTTTATTTATTTACCTCTTAGTTTATAAATTAATTCATACATTTTATTTTTATTTTTATTTTTGTTTTTGTTGTTCTTTTATTTATTATTTATTTGAATATTTATTATTTATTTGACTATGTACATAGGTGTCACAAATAATATTTTGGTGGGAATTGATTGAAAAACAAAATAAAAAAATATCTAGATATTTTATGCTTCCTTAGTCATTAAACTAAGACCAAGCTTATTTCCTATAAATTGAGTGCCTTGTCTCAATTCCACGCGCACACACACATACCAGTAGCCAAGGAGAGGGTGAGAGAAGGAGAGTGTGATTAAAGGGAAGTAGAGAAGAAGAAGAAAAGAAAAGGAAGAAAATGGTACCTTCTTGAGTCAAGGTAAGAACACTTCTTCCCCTTGTCTTCTCCAATTCTTTCACCATCCCATCCTATTGTTAGATGCCCTCTTGTGTTCTGAGTTAATGGGAAATAGGGTTTTTGATGTATATAAGAGTGGGTTTGATTTAGTGATTTTGCCTTACAAATTTGTAAAATTAGGCACTGCTGTAATTTCTCTAATTTAAAAGAAATATCAAATTTATTTATTTCTTAATTCTGAATTTAGTGTGAGATATTTGGTGTG